TAACCACCAATCCAAATACCCATTCTGACTTTCTCCCTTATTAGGATAATTGTGTTGGTTTCCCTACTGAAGTATATTGGACTTTTTCAAATTCTAATAAGTCTCAAAATAATCTGGAGAACTTGTTAAAAAAGATTTTTCACAGATTTCTGTTTTTCTTATCTCCTCAAAGTTTCTGATTTAATAAATCTGAGTCGGGATCGGGAGTCAGATTCTGACAAGTTTCCTGTTGATGCTGATCCTGTGGGAAGCACTGGTAGAGAGAAAGGGCATTGATGTGGAATGTAGTTTTTGTTAGAGCACCATGTCAGGTGGTCTGCTTTAACCAGAATCCTCTTATTATGATTACACATCTTAAAATAAATCTTGAGGATTTTTGAGGTTTATTTTTATATAAAGTAATACTTGCAAAATAATTTAAAATTGGAAATCTCACTATAAAGATTGTAATGGTAACCAGCAATCCCCTTGCTCACTTTCTGTATTTGCAATTTCTTTTTTTTAAGATTTATTTATTTATTTGAAAGTCAGAGTTATACAGAGAGAAAGAGAGCCAGAGAGAAAGAGAGAAAGGTCTTCCATCCGATGGTTCACTCTCCAGTTGGCCACAACTGCTGGAGCTGTGCGGATCCAAAGCCAGGAGCCAGGAGCTTCTTCCAGGTCTTCCACACAGGTGCAGGAGCCCAAGGACTTGGGGCATCTTGTACTGATTTCCCAGGCCATAGCAGCGAGCTGGATTGGAAGTGATACAGCCAGGACTAGAACCCGTGCCCATATGGGATGCTGGCGCTTCAGGCCAAGGTGTTAATCCACTGGGCCACAGTGTCGGCCCCTATTTGCAATTTCTGATCCCCAGAGCAACCACATCGATTTCTTATTTTTATTCTGTTATATGCTTCCATGTTTATATGTGAAACATAATTACTGTTTTGATGTTCTCTGTTTACTGCCTACTGTTTTTAAATATTTATATATAACATGCATGTAATGCACTATTAAATATCTTACAGCATTTTCCTCATTGGACTTATTCAACTATTTCTTACATTGTTTCTTTTTGCTTCTAATTAATTGGCACACTTTTCATTGCTCATATTTTAATTTTATGTATAATTAATTATCTCAATCTTTTTGAAGGAAATGTAACCCATTTCTCCATATATATATATATATATATATATATATGAAATTATAAATTTGCTTTCTAACACAGAGGCAGCCTTTGTGGAACTTCATTCTATCCCACTTGCACAATCAAAATCTCTAATCTTGCTGTCATTTTGCTTCCTTATTTTAATACTCTATCATCTTGTCACTCTTTCATTTTTTTTTCTATTTTTTAATAAAGTTCTTCCAATCCTTTATTTCTTTTTTTATTTTATTTTATTTAATGAACATAAATTTCCAAAGTACAGCTTATGGATTACAATAGCTTCCCCCCCCATTACTTCCCTCCCTCCCACAACACTCCTCTCTCCCACACCCTCTCCCCTTCCATTCCCATCAAGATTAATTTTCAATTATCTTTATATACAGAAGATCAATTTAGCATATATTAAGTAAAAATTTCCAGTTTGCACTCACACAGAAACACAAAGTGTAAAATACTATTTGAGTATTAGTTATAGCATTAATTAAACACCTAAGAGTAATTGTGGATTTTTTTTATTTTCCCTCCCACTCACCCCCCTCCCATCTCACACTCGCTCTCCCATTCCATTCACATCAAGATTCATTTTCAATTCTCTTTATATACAGAAGATCAATTCAGTATGTATTAAGTAAAGATTTCATCAGTTTGCACCCACACAGAAACACAAAGTGTAAAATACTGTTTCAGTACTAGTTATAGCATTACTTCACATTGGACAACACACTAAGGACAGATCCCACATGAGAAGTAAGTACACAGTGACTCCTGTTGTTGACTTAACAATTTGACACTCTTGTTTATGGCGTCAGTAATCTCCCTAGGCTCTAGTCATGAGATGCCAAGGCTATGGAGTTAGAATCATGCCAGGGGATCCCAATACAATCCCATCAAGGTGGCATGTACCCATGCCATTGCACCAGTCCAAGTGATCAACTTCAGTTCACAATTGATCACACTGATAGGTCTAAGAGTCAAAGGGATCACACAAACAAGACTAGTGTCTGCAAATACTAGCTGATAGACTCAAAAAGGAAGAGAAGGATCCATCATGGGAAGCGGGATACACAGCAGACTCATAGAATAGCAGATGTCCCAAATAGCACTCTGGCCTCAGAATCAGCCCTTAAGGCATTCGGATCTGGCTGAAGAGCCCATGAAAGTATTTTAGACATGGAAAGCCAAGACACCCTGGAAAAAAAAAAAAGACCTAAATGGAAGATCTCTGCGAGTGAGATCCCAGTGGAAAGAACGGGGCCATCAAAGAAGGAGGTACCTTTCTCTGAAGGGAGGAGAGAGCTTCCACTTTGACTATGACCCTGTCGGAATAAGAACCAATCCTTTATTTCTTTTTTATTTTATTTTTTTGACAGGCAGAGTGGACAGTGAGAGAGAGAGACAGAGAGAAAGGTCTTCCTTTGCTGTTGGTTCACCCTCCAATGGCCGCTGCGGCTGGCGCGCTGCAGCCGGTGCACCACGCTGATCCGATGGCAGGAGCCAGTAGCCAGTAGCCAGGTGCTTTTCCTGGCTCCCATGGGGTGCAGGGCCCAAGCACCTGGGCCATCCTCCACTGCACTCCCTGGCCACAGCAGAGGGCTGGCCTGGAAGAGGGGCAACCGGGACAGAATCCGGCGCCCCAACCAGGACTAGAACCCGGTGTGCCGGCGCCGCAAGGCTGAGGATTAGCCTAGTGAGCCGCGGCGCCTGCCAATCCTCAATTTCTAAAGTGTCTCTTAACTATTCTTTCCCTGCTATCGTATTTTTATTTTCAGGAACTCTTTCTTATTGTCCAAAGGCTCCTTTTCTCCCCACCCTGCTAGATTATGTTCCTATAGAATGATTTTTCATAACAGTCTTCAAAGAAATTAAATTTTGATTTGGGGAGAAATTTTCTTATATGTCTTATATTGCTTCTGTTTATTTCCTGCAAGTTTATGTCTTTTATTGACTTTTGATCTCTAAAGATTATGTTAAAATATCTTACAAATATCTGGTAATCCTTGGTTGCCTACTCATAAATAAAGTGATGAAAATATTGATATAAAGTTCTATGTGTAGAGAAAAGTTTGCTATTTAGGGGATTTCCCTTGCAGTTACTGGATTTTGTCTCAGAGCCAATACCCATATGTCTTTTGTACTCAGTTCTCAAAATAGATATCTGTTGGCACAAACTGTGACCTTGCAGCTTTCTGGAAGCCTGGTGAGGGAAGAGAACGTTGTTCATGTGGAACCCTGATTTTCACTTTATTTTGGCATCCTTATACTAGCATTCAAGAGCTTCTTAAGTGGATTGTTTGTTTTGTTGTTGTTGAGTTTCTCGAGATTTAAACTCACTCTCAGAAATTCCTGATGCCTCCAATTCTTAGGTATTTAAAAATTTTAGTGACTTAAATAAAAATGTGCTGCCTTTGTAGTAGTTCTCAACCATTTATATGCAGATTATGTTATTAAAACTATCTGCCTTTTGATGCATTTTTTCTTTATGATCATTTTCCTTTTGTTTTTGTTGAAAGTAAAGATTAACTTTGTGTTAAATCTACTTTATCCATTAGTAATATTCCTGTACCTTAAAACACATGAAGATAAAAGACACAGAGTATACCAGGTAACAAGATAGCTTTGTATACCTGGAATTCACACAGAAATATCTCCATGTTTCATTTCAAGATTTGTAAATCTGAAGATCATGTTTTTAGTTTGGTATCATGTCAATCAGGATAAGAAATATTGATTAGATGTTCAAAATTTATAAATGCATGGCTGAGACAAAACCATGAGTGTGTATTTTTAATTCATTTGATTATAACTTTCTATGCATAGCTGAGTTTTGGAAAAATTTCTAACTACAAGAAAATCAACTAGAAAAAAATAATTTACTTGTAAAAGTGTTTATTATAAACTCCCAGAATTTAATTTTCCCACTTTCTTCTATTTTACTGTCCTCTTTTTCGTTTTTAATAACTTTTCTTTCTTCTCAGTTTCCTTTTAAAGTTAACATTATTCTAAACTTTTTATATATATGTGCAATTATCCTTATATGTGTTTTCCTTTTCTTTATTTCTGAGCTCACCATTTGAATGAGCAACAAGTTCTTTGACATTATAATATAATATCCTTGAAATTATAATATTTATAAAAGTATAAAGTTTGTGTTGTGACTATAGTTGATAAGTGGGTGATAATTTCATCCATATTTTGAAACATAAATTATACTGTAGTGCAAAGTTAGATGGGAAATAGTAATTAACAGTTGTTGAGGCCACAATTGGTCTAAGTTTTGGCTTTGCTACTGAAGGTTAATTCAAGTTATTTTAGTTCTCTGAGACTAAATTTAGTTGGCAGAAATGTAGGGATTTACAGCACAAGGCTATTATAATGACTAAACAAAACTTTTATACACAGAGTATTAACCTGGCACATAGTGAGCGACCTATGAATGGTTTCTAATAAAAATATTATAAAGCCATTCATATATACTAGATCAAAATATACAAAAATTAAAAAACCACAACATTTATTCAATTTAAAACCAAAATTTGTAGTATTACCATTATTTATACTTTGGGCAAGTGAAAATAGCAAACTATCTATGCTTAGAGGAAGTGACACACTGAATAAATAATGTCTCTGTATCCAACAAACAGGAAAAGATAGGGTTGTAAGAAAGGCATGCTGTTTTTACAGACCAAATGATTTAAATATGTGTTACTTTTGTCTCTAGAAATAGTTTTCTCTGTACTCAGAGGAATCACTTATTCAACAAATATTCTTTGATTGCCTGTTTTTGTCCCTGGCTGTGTTTTATCTTTGCAAAAGGATTTTTATGCCTGAATACTTTCCTTTTCCACAGACATTTCCACTGGGCCTGGGAGATGGGCAATTCTATTCATGGACAGATGGTTTGAGAAGAAAGGACTGGCATGACTATGAAAGCATTCAGAAAGAGGCTATGCGTTCAGGTATGAAGTTCAGTGTAAGCCAAAGTGCTACGTTACTTACTGCAGTGTCTCATGTGTCACTTAAAGGCTCTCTAATTAGTATTTCTTCTGCACACAGTAAAGTATGTCTCACTATTGAAGGTCAACAATGGATAGAACCAAAGTGACTTTAAATTTCAGAAGCAATGCAAATGATAAATATATCTTTCAATATTAGCAGAAAAAGAGTATATTACAATTTTAGAAATTTATAGTACTTTATAATTCTAAAATGCTTCCAGAGGCTTTTTGGAACTCACTAATAAGATATGATCTGGTAGAGCTGTAACTCAAGCAAGGTTCACTGGAGCTGAAGTGTATCTAACTAGCAATACACATTAAAGAGGCACCACAATTTCAGGACATTGGCAAAGGGTACAATAAGTCAGTGGATTATAGCAACCAGGGATCTGATGTTGCCAGCATCTGGAAAAATAGGAAGTTAAATAGAATTAAGTAAGTCTGCACATTCTATCTTGCAGAAATCTAGTCAGGCTAGAGAAAGAGGATAAAAGAAATGGAAACAGAAATATATGTGAGTAGAAATCCAGTGAAAGTGAATAGAAGATAATAAGAAGTCCATATTCTATTATTCAATGGAAGGCACTCTTTTTTCATAGTTAGGGAATCATAGAAGCTGAACAGCTACTGTCTGGTATGGGCATCTCAGTAGGCCTGGGACATAGCACTGTAGGTCAGCAGTAGCAGAACCATGGGTAGCCACAAGATGTGGTCCTCCTGGCTAGTCTTCCAGATAGCTCATTCCCTCAGAGTAGCTAGTGAAAGTGTTTAAATATTTATGAAAGTAGTCTGGCCTGTAAAATAGTCTTAGCAACATGACAAGAGCTAAATAAAGCAAAGCACCATCCTCTAGCAGCTGCACAGGAGCAGCTTGTCCTAAAACTGCTTCCCTGTGTAAGAGACTCGACCTCTTCCAGGTTTCATCATCTTCTCACATTGGCCATCGCCACACGTATTGTCATGATGATGATTTCCTTATCAAAATCTTCACTTTTCTGGTCCTCTCATTTTTTTCGTCTATTGGCTTGTGTGAATCCAACTCTCTCTTCCTTAGTCTATCCCAAGATGCTGAAGATTTATGAAAAGGTAGCATAATAATACCAACTTAATTGTCACAAAAATTCCTAATAGTAATAATCAAAAATGAATAAACGGTTTGTATGAGCTATTCCACATATGTACTTTACTTAAAGTTCAGAACAGCTTTGATAGGTTTTATTATCCTTAATTTTTAAAAACTTGAATTGCTGAGAATTTATAAGCTTTCAAACACAGTCAAACAGCTAATTGTTTGCAGAGCTGGACTAATTGTAGGGTGTGATAATGTTCCATTACACTCCACTTTCTGACTTCACATAATAGCATTTTAACAACATAGACTAATGACAAGGGCATATATGAGAGAGAGGTGCAACTAGGTTCAATTTTTAGCTTTCACATGCATCACTTGTATAATTTGAAAAATCAAATTATGTTGCAGGTCTGCTACTCTGTAGAATCATTCTAAATATTATATATAGTATACTTATAGTAATTGGCCAATTGGACATATTAAAAGCTCAACTAAGGATAACTGTAATTATTAAACTAAGTTATTTTCATGTGAATTGTGGTGTTTACCCTTTCCATATAATGAGGTTGGGATATAAAAACCAGTACTTCCCCTGTATTTCTGCTTCATATCATCAAATACACCTTTTATATAAATATGCGTTTATGTCCTCATCCTCTTAGACCAAGGGAAATTTGAACTAAAAATTGTTAATACATCAGGTTTTTAAGGATGAGTTATTCATGTAATTTAAAAGTTTTAAATGCCAAATCTGTATCAATCACTAGAATACATATGACGAATATAACAGACTAGAATTAGTTATTTTTATATAAGGAAATAACAAAAAAGTCTATTAGACTATATGTGTGTGCACACACAAACACATGCACACAAAAAAGTACAGAGTAAAAATAAAATAGCCACCTGTGTACTCCATATATAAGCCAAGTAAAAGGATCTAAGGCTATGTACCCTCCAAGAGTTCAATTTTGTGTTTCGTATCTTAATTTTCTCTGAGATTTATATCACCTGTATATTTATCCTTAAACAACAAATAGTTACATTTTGCCAATATTTGAGTTTTATCTAATATTGTATGACTTTCTTTTTTAACTCAGAATTGCTTTTGAGACTAATCCATGTCAATATATGAAACATTACTTGGGTTTTTTGTTTGTTTTTAATTTTCTACAAGATCCCTCTCTTCTTGGACATGTGGATAAATCTCACATTTTAGTTGTCATGTGTAATGCTGGTATAAGTTGTCATGTGTGATATCCCTCAGACATTGAGACAATTTTTCTGGGTAACAGTTTAGCAATAGATTTGTACAAATAGGGAATGTACATTTCAATTCTATTTGACTGTGATAAATTGTTTTCCAAAAGTAATATACAAATTTCACTACAGTCAGTAATGGATGTAATTTCCCTTTCTCTATGTCTTTGTCAATTCCTATTATTGTTTGACTTTCTTTTCACAACTTGGTGATATGAAAAAAATCTCTTACTTTCCCTTGCAATCCATATTACTAAATTTTAGCATACGTTACTCCTTTTTATGCTTATGAACCATTTGTTCTTCCTTTCTGGTAAAACTTTTTATTCATTTGTATTTCCAACTTTTAAAAAATTTTCTTTTCCTTACTAATCCACACAATGCGGGTGATTTATTTTGGATAATATCCATTGTGGTTTTGGTGAAGATATCTCATTCCACATTTTGTAGACTATATTTAAAAATCATTTTATGTGTGGTTTAAGTATATATTATTTTGATATTAAATTCAGAAATAATTTTTTGAGGTTAGGACATACTGATTGTCTTTCATACACTTGATAAATTTACTTTTACACTGATGTTTTCACTCTACATGGACTTCATTTTCATATGATGTAGAGGTTCAGTCTTTGTTTAATTCTTACCAATTTAAATAACCAAAGAATCCTCAGCAACATTTATTGGAAAATGTACCTCTCCTTCTCTTGATCTGATGTGTTGACTTTATCATAAATTAGGTTGCTGTATGTATATGCTCTCTTTCTGGGTTCTCAATTCTATTCTGTGAATGAAAATCTCTGCACCTTCACTATATGATTTTGCATCGTAGCTTTATAACAACTATAGATATTTGATAAATCTCATTATGAAGGCACTATTTCTTGCTCTTCTGCTTTGGGAATGTACTAGCATTCTTACCTGAAGCTCTTCATGAAAACTTTTATTCAGATTTAGGTATCACAAACACGTGTACACAAAACATTTGAAATTTTGGAATTGTATTGAGCCTATTGATAAATTATGAGATAATTGACATTTTCCGATATCTAATAGTTCCATTGGTTTTCATTATATTTACTTATTTCTTTATTATCTTAAGGGATGTGTTTTAAGTTCATTTATTTTATTTTATTCTCATCATTTTTAGAAGTGTGTTATATGTATTAATTTTTTGAAATTCCACATTGTTACCAGATGGCTTATTGAAATAACAGTTTTTAGCATTGATATGAATTTAGAAAATAGTATATTTTTATTACTTAAAATCATTTACTAATATGAATTATATCTACAAATAATTACAATGTTTTAAAGGTGCTTTCTTTACATCATGGAATTTATTCTTTTAGCTATTTTTGCCCAGGTATAACACTTGTCAAGAACGCTAGTGCAATGTTGAATATTGGACACCAATAAGTACTCTTGATTTATGATAGCAAATTAAATGCTTATTTTGAGGTTCTATCTATCATCTACCTAGCTATCATCTATCTACATGAGTATGTTTTATCATATTTACTAACATGGTACAAATACATTTTCCATTTTTTAAACACATTTCATCATATTATTTCTGGATCTGACTTGCTGAGAGTTTGTGAATTTTATAATTTTCAGTCTCAAGGAAGTTGATTTTATCAAATGTTTATGTATTCATTTTTAGCAATTATGAAAAATCGTATTTAATTAGGAAAGAAACAAACTATTCCATTTTATTCATCTGAAGTTAAGGAATTTAGGTAAAATATGAGATATGACTATGCTACAATGGATATTGTTAAAAAAGTTATCATAAAGGTAAGAAGAATTTTTTTATTTATTCTTATCTACTAAAATAGATAATACAATTTCTGCTTTAATCTATTGTTTGGGTAAATTATATACATTGTTTTAGCAGTAGAAACCAAGTTAGCTATTTGACACTAAATATTTTTAGTCATCATTGTATTTAATTTGCTAATATGTTCTTCAGCATTTTCAAATAATTATCCATAGACAAAATATTGATCATGAATTTTTCTTTTTCACAAAATCCTTTTCAAGTTTTTGTAACAATGTATCGCCAACTCTATAAAATGACTTGATTAAATCTGCTTTTTTTTTAAACATTTTATAGTTACTTATACATTATAGTCATTTGTTTTCTAATAATTATGAAATTTTGTAAGTAAAACTACCTAGTCTTGAAATTTTCTTGGAGCAAATATTTTTAAATTCTGAGATGACTATGTAAATGAACATTAGTTTATTTTGCATTTCTCCTGTTATTAAAAATATGTTCCACTAATTTGTCCATTACATTTAACTGTTCATATTTATTAATTAATTTATATTGCTTTTTCTTCAGATAGTATTTCAGATATTATTCATTTTTCAATTTTATTAACATTTCAAAAATTTTGCTTTATTTTATCTATTCTATTTTTTGAGTTTATTTACATTCATGTATTCATTATATTTTTTTGGTTTAGTTTATTCACATATTCATTCCCTTATGTAATACATGCCTTCTATTTGTTTTTCTGTTTTTTTTTTTAACTTTTATTTAGTAAATATAAATTTCCAAAGTACAGTTTATGGATTACAAAGGCTTCCCCCCTCATAATTTCCCTCCCACTCGCACCCC